GGATGAGGGATTCTAAATTATCATATTACAACTTCTGAAACTTCTGCTGACCCTGCTGAAACTACAGTTTTGCGATATATCAAGGTGGAACTGAAAATTTCATTTTATGAAAGTAGAGTAGGAGTTCACGGTCCCGTCAACGGCGTCCTTTTTGTACAGCTAATCGCCGTTGATCTTGCCAGTTTGTTGCACAATAAATACTAAACTATCACTGATGGTGACAACACTACCACCAACATATGATTAACTGCGCTTAAAAACTATCAAAATTTAAATCGAAAGGATTCACACCCAAGCACCTTGTTCGACAAAAGTTCTTCACTAAGTAATCATCTTAGCGTAATATTTTCAGGTGGAAATAACAGTTGGTTATCTGCCATGGAAAAGTATGCAAGATAAAGATGAAGTTGGTCGAGTAAAGCAGCTCTGCCGGAAAGATGAATATATCAAAGAGCTGTTCGGTGGCTGTCCAAGAGAATATATCAGAATCCTTAGGATTATCGATTCTACGAGGTTGACTCGTCCCAGAAAATGATGCTTCTGATTTCAGTGCTTATTTTCTATTCACGAAAAAACATACTGAAATGGCAGTTTCGCACAGCAGCTCATGACCGAAAGAGACAGTTAAAAAAACCAATGTTGCTAGAACCCTTTTCTTGACCTAGCTTGGTACTGGTGTGAAACAACGGCTAGGGACTCAAAAACCATCTTTGGGTTGCTTAATACTGATTTCCTGCCCTGTACTTTTTTTTCGCTTAATAGTAAACGACTGTCGAATGATGAATGCTATTTGAGAGTAACTAAAAGACCAGGACCTTCGGTCTCAACAGAGGGAGAGGGGAGCAAAAGAAACGAGAACCCGCTAGTAGAAGTCAAACGTGTGAGTGTCGATGTGAAAGAAGGCTACGGCACCTACAAGATATAATTAGGGAATAAAAAAACACCGAACGAAGCACTAAGTTGCCACATTTTAGAGCAATGCCAAAAACCAAAAACGAAGCAGAAAGTAGGAAACTAAAAACAGGAAGAAAACCATGTGTACCTTTAACCTTAGTAACCGCAGTTATTTATTATTCTTGTGAATGTCACTAATTTTAGGTATTATTCGAAGCCCGAGTATGCGAAAATAACTGACTTGTTGCATGATGCTATACGTATTAACGCAGTTTTTGAATATCCATACGACTGGGAGAAATACCTGGATCCAGTAAAATCGGCGAAAAGTGCTGAGATTAAGTGAAGTAATGACTGGATATGAGCAGAAAAGCGTTAAATCATATGTGCCATGTATTCGAGGCATTTCTGTTTCCATGTTTCTTGATTTAATAATATTAATAAAAGATACTATGCAAAATGAATGCCTTGTTCAACTGCATTTCGTAGCGTAATTCTAAAGTTAGGCATTTGGCAGCTAACTGCATCGCCTGGTAATCAGTCTGCTTGCTTAATCTCCTTAACGGATTATCAGCTCCGTAGTTCTCTCGTCAAAGGCACTTTCGCAGAACCAACTGCCTTCAAATTTTCGGCTGTATGGTTAAATAATTATTTTTACTTTTATTCCTTTCTGCAGCTTATGCAAATGCAAAAACGCATACTGTTGAGAAATTATCCGTTTCTGTATGTATGTGTGTGCGTGTGTGTATATGTGTGTGTTCATATCTGTATTGGAAGCCAATGAACTTTATCACCCACTTTCAACTCAGCGACGAGTAAAGCGGGAAAGCTGAAACCTTGTAAGAGCACATTCCCATCCCACTTGTCATCCTCCGCTTCAAAATCGACGCTCACATGAGCCTAAGGTCTCAGACCCCTACGCCTAAAAAAAATGAATTTTTTGGCGGGAAGCAGTTTCGGATGAACGTGGGACGCAGCCATCGAACAGGGGTATTTGCTGTCCATTTGTGAGCTAAAGATTTCAAACTCACTCCAAGCAAACTTGCGTCTCGAACACCGTCATGTCAAAATTCAATGTTTGGAGCATATTAACTCGAAAAATAGCCAGCAAAAAATAGCTGCAACTTTGCCGGAATATTTATCGCCGATCTCGAAAGTCGCTTCCTAAGTACAGTCCCGAACTGCATCTGCTCCAGACTTTAGGGAATATCAAAGATACTTTTAGCAAAGCAACGCCCTCAAATACTAGAGAAGTTACAAAGCCAAAAACTTGCAAGCATTTTATATTCACGCGCGATCTGGATTTAACTTGGAGACTTGATTTCTTGCACACGGACATAAAAGTACTCAGTTTTGCTGAAAACTCAAAATCGAGCGCATCTTAAGATTTCACATGGAGCCATAATAAAACGCAACCCTAATCGATGCCATCTTTCCCTTTGCATGCAAAATACCAAATCCACCCAACAAGAGTCCATACGTTAAACTGTAAAGCAGCAACCATTCCATACTGTTAAGGATCTGACCGCTTCACGTTTAGCTTAGGAGCGGATGATCACACCGGCAAGGCTGATATTTGGATTTACAACTAACTCTGATATTTTCAATGCTTTTATTACTATTCGCAACTAAAATAAAATACAGCACGAATGTGCAAACTGTCGTATTTCAACTCGTAAGCAGGAAGACCGTGAAAAGAAATTACAGCAAATGAGATCTGTAGACACAAAAGAGAGGCTCATGAAATGCTGCTTCGGCTTCCAAAGTCCCCATAAAGATTAAATTATACACGCTTACCTCCATATTCACTCCAAATTCACCTATATCCTGCAGGTAAACTACACATTTTATATGTATTGCTAGCAAAATGGACAAGCAACGGGAAAACTGATTCTTTCAGCGGGAAGCTAGCCTCCCCTCGTGAAATAGTGATTCTTTTATGGCAAAATGGTATAGATGCATGTCAGAAAATAAGGCTTTCAGGATATTTTTTGGTAGACTGAGAGAGGAAAAGCAAGGGATTACGAGAGAGCAAGGCGATGAAATTCAAATCTACTTTTTGGTAGTGTGCTACTACTTAGGCTACTTACGGCTGCTTCATTCCTCTCACAGAAAGAAATAAGACATGAATTTCTAGCAAAATTTTAAGCTAACATGCAAATTTTTAGGAAACCCCCACCTGCGGGTACAGAGCTTTAGGAAACCCCCC